GAGGTATATACCTTATACAATACCTTATAGTATTATAATATATTATAATATAGTAGTATTATAATATTATATTATAATGTAGTAGTATTATAATATACCACTTATTTTAAATGCTAGATGTATGTATGTACCTAATACAATACCTTTTAAAATCTTAAAAATGTGTAAAATTATTAATTATATATATCTTATATTATAAATCAAAAATATAAAATACCTTATAGGTAGATGGTAGGTACTTTCCATTAACAAGAATTTTGGTTATATTTGTCTACCAATGCTCAGTATTTGGTACATAAAAAAGTATACCAAAAAGTACCTACAATTTTATAGTGTAAAAAATACAACAATTAATATTTAAAACATCTTGGATCCATACATAGTACATACTTAGTAATCACAACATAAAGTACCATGATACATGTAGTGATGTCCAACAAGTTATGCATGTATGAATTATACTGTAATTTAGTTGTTTTATTGCATTGACACCATTAATTATAATTTTAATTTAATGCATAATATATAATAGTAATAATATAATAATGCAAACCAAAAAATAGATGCTTAGTAAAACACCAAACCTATCTACCTACTTACCTAAATGATTAATAATTAAATTTTTAAAACATAAAAAAAAGTTTGCTAAGTTTGCTTCTTAGTTCTTAATTCTTATTATGAATTATGATTACAAAATGATAACAAAATTATTATTATCAATTATTCTCAAGTATTAATTCTAGTATCAACTACTAAAACATCAATTCTAAAAATAGAATATAATATATTATAATATTAAACTACGATACTACCTAGTTCCTATATTATAAATTAGGATATATAATTATAATATTATGATACGATTATATTGGTTAAATTATTAGAATTTTTAAAATGGAAACGTCTTCGTATTTAAATGTGTCAAATTTACCAAAGTCATTTGTTACCAAAATTTTGGATATTTCTAGTGGTAATAACTACTCACTTCGTTCAAATATACTAAATTTTGAACAATGTGACAAATGGGTAAATGAATTTTCATCGCTGACTTACACAAATTGGATCGTAAGAAATTCCAACAAAATTAGTGAACGTTTTGTATGCAGGTACGTACATTTTAAAGAATTTATAATGAAGTGTGTAATTGTGTAATGTAAATATAATATACATAAGTATTGTACATTTATATTTCAGAAAGGATTATGTATGCCATCACAGCAGTTTCAAAAAAGTTGATAAGGACAAAAATCTAAAAAAATCTAAAAATATGAGTTGTCCTGCTAAAGTTAGTATTAAAGTTAAAAAAACAACTACTGATACTATCAAGAAAGATAAATATGTTAAAGTAAGAATAATAATACTTATAGATTATAATATTATTGCACAGTTTAATATGTACAATAGCATATTATAGTTGCTTAGTGCATTACGTGCCTATTCATTAATTATTTGTTCT